ATGCTAAGCTAAGCTAATCAACTCTTGGCTCGGCTTCATAGATGCAGACATGCAAGTGGTACCTATCCTCTCCTCTAACTCTGCCAGAAGCCAAAAAAGTGCATTTCCCAAATTGTCAAACTATTCCTTATAAAAACAACAAGGGATTTACAAACACAAATGACACAGAATCCTTTAAGGACATACCGTAGAGTGACTCCATACTGGCTGCATCATTATCAATGAGCGCTGATGCCACCCACACGATGCCCAGAATGAGCAAAGCCAGCAGGAAGAGCATCACAAAGGTCTCAAGAATACGTGCCCTAATGCCCTGAGAGATAAAATGCACAGAAAAGAAAGAAATCTAATTAGATATGGCTAATACAGTTTGAATCAATATCATTATACACATAAGTATTTTATTTCAAAACACATTAATCAAACTGATGTTCATTGCACTGAGCTGGGAGGTGGTATTTCCTACATCGCACATACATTTTTTTTTTTTAAACACACAAGATTGATTTTACAAGACATCTCCCTCCTCCTCAATCCTGCTTCACTCATATTAAACACCATCATTTCCATTCACAGCACACAAACATGACATAAACGCTCCCACAGATTCCTCTGTAAAACAGCTCTTTTATACACACATATTGTGGTCTATAAAGTGGGTCTAACAGGGGCTGGTGGTGGCAGAAGTGAAATTAAAAGGGGGGGGGGGGGGGGGGGGGTGCTGTAAGGAGCATGAAGCCTGGCTGGGTCAGCTACTGTCTGCGATCAAGAGCAGGCCTCCCATCTGGGGCCGATTAGGAGCTCCCTTAGCACCACGGTCGTGTCCCGGGCTGCACAGACGAGAGGGTTTTGGGGTAATTTGGGTTTTCCGGGTCACAAACTGCTGAGTGGTTAATAAAGTCCTCCTCTACCTGTTCACACAGTTTCCATTTCCCCCCCTGCTGGTGAGCCGAGCTGTCTAGCACTGTAAGATAGATAGGCGTTCTCATACACATGTCAGGTAGGCTACCAGGCGCAGGATAACAAGGGCTCTCTGCTTTTGGAGTGCTGCTTAAATTGGGTACATATGAGCAATTTGTTACCAGCTAACATAATGGCTGTGCGGTTGCTGTTCAGTATTTGCCAACAGGTACATGAAGGGGGTCTCTCTTTGAAAGTTCCCCCTGTTAATCATGTCCCTTTATAGAATGGAAATGGTTTCAATTCTGCAGATTAAATCAGACAAGGCTTAGTTTTTTTTAGTTTCCAAACACAGTTCATGATTGTCATCCAGACCACCTGTCCTTTAGCATTTGCATCACAATTTGCATTACGGCTGTCATCTCTCCTATGCAACCTAAAATATGGTCCACTCTACACTATATATATATATTTTAAAGGCACTTTTCTTGCATGTTGTGAAACATATTTGGTAAATGTAATGTGTACACATTATCATGGACGCATTCAGTCAATACTTTGGATAGTGACATTATGATTTAAGCTTATTCTCTCATTGTCGTGGCAAAAAATCCCAGTAGCATCCTTTCGCAATTACTGAGCAATCACTTGCCTCTCGCCTTCTCTTACGGTGATATTCTGGAAAAGATTCAGTGGGTGAGTGCAGAATTTTCTAGCACAACGGGGAGGAAAGTGGGCAGAGTCTGGAGTGCCACAGTGTGGCCACAGTGGACACTGCAGCCACTCGACAGGTAATGTAAGACGTGGGCCTTATAGAGTCAACGTAAAACAAACCTAAAATAATCTTGTGAAATATTACAAATAAACACATAAAATTAATACATACACCACAGTGAGAACATATCTTAAGGGAGCTATATGTGCACATCTGCTATGCAAGATATGCACATGTTATGCAATTACCCAACAATAAATTCGCCACTCAATGCAGATCAATACACTAAAAATATAGCCACAAATCCGACATGGACATTAAATTCTGCTGACTGCCTCATGCTCTTTTGCACACACTCGCACACGCTGAGTGAGTTCACTAGATGGATGCTGCAATCAAGCATCTCACAGCCCAGCTCAACTGGGCAGTGGGAAAAACACTCAACACTGCCGAAATAAAAAAAAAGGGGGGAGAAAGGAAGAGATGGAGAGCGATAGAGAGAAATAAAGAGAGAGAACAACAGAGAGAGAGAGGGAGACTGTTAGAAGAGAGGAGTCAGCGTCTGAGCGCATCTCATTCCCTGGAGGTAAGAGAGGTGAGAGAGGAATGCTTTCAGGGACTTCAGCCACGTCCCACACGCGCTCTCTTAAGGATGCATCAGGACAAGAAGAAGCCGTAGGCAGGACGTGCGTCCGCTCAAGCGCACCAGTCCACCTTAACAAGCTGCCCATGCCATGCTGAAGGTGTATTCCCTTTAGATAGGTCTCTCAATCATTTATAAGACTCAAATCATTACCCATTCAGATCATTTAGGGCAAAGGCAATGCTTGTCACCTCCCTTACTATCATCCTTGGTTCCTGCCTCGCTGGAAGAACAATCCACTGTGTCAGACATAATAAGACTGTGCAGGAGATGGAGGACACTGAACTGCGAGCCCAGATTGGTTTCACTGATCCATCCATATGCATGACATTGCACACTGAAAGTTATATCACCTATTCTTCCAAGGGCAAAACTAAGTCCTTTGTTCCTCATCACAAAGGTAAGGAAGGGCAAATTTGCACAACAAATACTGTACAAAAATAGGAAAGTCCAACTAAGCTATCATCATTGATCAAAGATACAACTGTCAACTGGTGAAGGAAGGGAGGAAAAAAAAGACCTGCGCCTTGGCATCCAGAGCGCCCGCTGAAAGTTTCTATTCTTGCCATTCTAAATGTGTAACTACCTCTAAATATAGCAGCTCTGAAATATTCAGCATCCCCTGATCCTCACACCGACCGAGGGGCTGGTTAACTGCAGCTATGCTCGAACAAGACTGGAGAGACTTCCAAGAAATGCATGTAGTGGCCAGAGAGGAAAGTAACCGCTTCATATGCAGTACCAAACACACATGCATGAATTCACACACAAACAGACCCACACACACGAGCAGCCAAGTAAATCAACCTCCAAATCCACCCAATTACGCAAAGCCGCAGAGGGCCTGGAAACAGTTCACAAGCTTTTTCGCCTAGCTTGTGCTGCAGAAAAACTAAAGCACAATCTGCCACTGTCTTTGATGTAGTGCTTCGGCTGATGAATCCAGCAGAGAGTTCACCTCTGGAAGTTGCATGCCACTGTGCAATGGTGGACAAGTGGGAGAGAGAGTGAGAGATGATACTTGGGAAGGTGCAGGGCTGTGTTGGATGTTGGGGGGGGGGAAGAAATCAGACAAAGAAAGAGAGTTAGGTGGCGCAGGAGCTTCCTAGTTGCCGCCATCAATCCTTAGCAAGTCAGCAGGCGGTGGCAGAGATCATCCCGCAGACCATCCTTCTGCTCACTGTCAGGGGCGTGTGGAACAAGGGCCAAGAGTGTAATAAGTGAGGTAGGGGGGGCAGGGTCCTTTTTTTTTCTGCTCCCCAGCAAAAGGACAGCCCTCTTTGCTAAAGACATGCCAGATGCCCAAGGACCTTATTAGTGTATCCTTCAACCAGTCGGCCACAGCGCAATGACCGTGTCAAAGACAGAAAGCAGAGGAGAGGGACACTCCCCTGTAAAGCTGCACAATGAACTTCTAAAGACTCTTAATAAGACTTCTTAATAAAGCACCAATGACACGAGAGCATGGAAAATGATCAGCATCACATCGTATTGTTCAAACCAAGGGGAGAGGGGTGTTTGGCAAGAAAAAGAAAACATTGTCGTGAAAGTTGAGTACGCTGGTTTTTGGGATGTGAATTAAAACTCTGGTTTTCCCTGCTGGTCTCATGACTGATTCACCAGTTGAGACAGAAAAGAGAAAAGAAGAATTTAAATGAAGGAAGCAGCTTCAGTACTTTGTGATGTTTGCCAAGTTTTATTTGACATCCTACAGTGACGACAGCTTGTTCTGATTACAGAAAGGTGTCAGACTGATAAGTCTTCAAAGAATAAATGACTGTATCCTGGGTTTATCGTCAAGCAAAGGTTAGGACCAAGTGCACATAGTAGCCAATCCACATAATACTCTGCCTTACTTAAAGTTATGTAAATGAGTTGTAGTAATTCAGCGTATGAGAGACAACATCTTTCATTTAAAATCAGGAAAAACAGCAAAAAATCTGGTACAGAACCAGTTAAGCTTCAGAAGTTATCACTTAGTTTAGAAAAACTGAGTCACGAGAGGAGGGGAAAAAAAATCCTGAGCAACTCGCTTGTTCTTTTTTAAATTCCCAGCTCGAACTAATATGTTGCCATGGTAACGAACATTGTAACAGGCAGCTTTAGGGAGACATTGTGACCTTAAAGGAAGGTATGTAAACACCACTTTATATTCTCCGGCTGGCCCTGCCCGAAAGAAGGCCTGGGAAAAATGTCTGCATGTGCAGGAGATTTGAAATAAATATCCAGGCCCCCATTGTGGAGCTCCAACAAAGAGGAGTATCTTAGTAACACCACGCGGGTTTGCTCGGCGAGACGTTTTCTCCCCCCCACCTCCCCCTCCTCTCCACAATAAACACACTTCTCATCATTGGCGGGTTAGGGCTTAGGATGAGATTGATGAGGAGTTTCTTTAACTACCAGATGAAACCTGTTGGCCCTTTGCTGGGTCAGTCAGGGGGTCAGACTCGTTCCAACTCGTTTCAGGATCAAACACATTTCAATACTGTGGGTAAGACCAAAAGACTATTCACTGCAATGCATACTTTCCACAATTGATGCAAAAACCTACATCTAGAAAACCCCTAAAACATAAAACTGATTCTGCACATTTTTCATCATGCTAAATTTTCAATAATTGTTAGTAACTCAACTATTACTGCGGCATCAAATGCATATTTTTTAGCCAGAATAAAGATCTGAAAATAAGATTAGACTACACAAGAAATAGACCAGAAAGTTGCAGTTGTCAAAACTTTTTTTTTTAACCTGGACCTAACTGTTTTTGAGTAAATATAGCTTTAAGATATGATATTCATCATGTATCACTATTAAGCCAACTTAAGTCCCCTTGATATAAATAGAAGTCTGAACAAAGGCTGGTGCTGATGTCTTCACAGTCTTTGTCAGAAAGCACTGATCATCTCAATAAGGATGACAGGGATGGCTCTCATCATTATAATGCCATCTACTGGTGGTGTAGAGACAACTATAACAGATAAGTGAAAGAAATGCTATATTGGGCTTCATAAAGCCACAATAAAGAGATTTTTATCTTTCCCAATGCACTCAAACGTCAAATCAATATATGGTACTTAACTTTAGAACATTACTTTCTATGCAAGATGCAATTACACAAATACAGCACGGTATAGAGGTTTTTAAAACTGACCTACTCAACAACCTTTAGTGGCCTCAGTGATGTAGCTCTTATGCAAAGATTTGAGAACACAGCAGTAAAGTGGGAGACATTTTACAGCAGCAAATAAAGCTAGATCATAACATCTGACATCAAGACCCTAAGTCGCTCCGATTCATCCACAATTTGGACAATTTGTTAAACTATTAATCACTCAGGTGACAGAGCCTCTGAAGAGCTGAACAGTTAACATAAAAAAAAAAAAACATCCACATTTCCATCTTTATTCTGGTGGCGTCTTTTAGTACATCGTCAAAAGTAAACACAGCCACATGAAAAGGCTGACTTACAGCGTTAGTAGTGAAATTCATCATTCACTTCATTTCCGCAGTCAAAAGGACCTCGCAGTGCCATAACATTAGCCCAGGAGGTTAAAATGCCACATAAAACCTTATGACATTGTGGTCTAATGCTGTTATTGGGGAAAGGGATAATATCACATTATAAAAACTCAGATCTGTGTTTAACATTCCTCTTGCTGTCGGCTGCGTGATCGACTCTGCAGGCATCTCAGTTTCTTTTTTTCTTTTTTTTAGGCGAAACAGGAGTGTCACCTCCACCCCTTCCATAGCAAACACACAATATATACCTGGAAGTGCAGCTCAACATTAAACAGTGCTTCCTCTAAGCAAATTTATGGAAGATCAGTAGCAAGAAACAGTCTTGCTGAAATGAAAAAGAACAAAAAAGAGAAAACGTGAAAGAGGCCCTCATCCTGCTTCCTACACATCAGGGGCTGCCCTCTACCGAAGAAATCCAACCGAAACAAATTAGTGGGCTGAGGAAGAAAAGAACTGGCTATACACTACAGTACAGACTAATTTTTATGTGCTTTTGCCAGGAGGGACATAAACCAGAGAGGTTTCAAACTGTGACACAGGATAGAGGTGTATTAAAAGTAAATCTTTCCCCCTCCATTTTGCGAGGCTCTATTGTGCTGTCATGTTGCTGCGACTTTATGGACTTTTGGAACACGAGCCCCCAGCCTCTTTTTTTTGGGGGTAATCAATTAAACGAGGAAGTTCGCTGAGCCTTACAACTCGATTATTAGCCTGTCCTTTTGAAGTTTTATTTTAGGGGGCTGGGGAGGGGGTGACAAGGAATCAGGCTTTAAATCAGTGGGGCCGATGCAGCAGTGTTGAAGCGTTTGCAGCCTATGGCCTTATTGGAAGGGTTTGTCAGGATGTGGCGCTGGGCGAAGTCCAGATTCAGACTTTCATGGTTAATGAGCTTTCCGTGGTGGCAGTTACAGTCAGTGGCGTGAGTCAGGGAGAGGGCAAGGACTAGGCACCTGCTGCTGCTGCTGCTGCTGCTTTGGCTGTTAAAGAGGGAACCCCTCGCATGGATAGCAAAGCATACAAATGCATCAACACTAAAGAAAAGATAAACAGGGTGGCACATTCTGACACAAGTTTTGTCAGACCTTTAAACATCATAGATTGTCTCGTTTTTATGTAGATTGTCTACTTTTAATAAATCACCGAGTATCAGTATCATAAAAACTGGGTGAATTTCCTGATTTTTTGGTAATTATTACTGTTCCAGACTTTAAAACTTCCATTTCAATTTCTAATAAAATGTTTTGTTTTTGATGATAGTTTGTAACCTTGGGTAACACACAAACAAAATAAAGAAAAAGGAAAATGACGCATATTAATAAATTCTACGACAAACATTTAAGGCAGTGTACCTTTTTCGATCCAGCGAATCCTTCAGACTCCAGGAAGAAATAGGCAAAGGGCATCAGGACAAAGAGGCAAAGGTTGGAGAACAGTGACACCAGGTTCCACAGACCTGCAGAAATCATACATATGAGAGTGGATATTGTATGCAAACACTATATATCACAAATCAACAGTGAGTCCAGTTTTTTTAATGTGAAAAAGTGACACATCTTTGTAAGGCTTAGTCTTGTTCCATGAACAGGTTTTTCTTCAGAATTTTGAGTTCTTTCCCCTGAATATTAGTTGTGAGGCGGGATGCCAACCCAGGGTTTTATCTGGCAAGTGTCTTCAAGTGAAGTCTAAATCATGGACTCTAATGCCCCCTGGTGGCTTTTGCAGCAACCAACAGCCTTATCATCAGAGTTGGTGGTTAACACTGACTCGGTCTGCATGACTGACTGTGACATACACATGTAAATTGATCTGATATGTAGTGATATGGCAGATGAAATAGAAAACACTTTTAAATCTCACAAGCTTGGGCTGTAAATCAAGGAAAAGAAATTTTCTTATTCGATCTACCAGCCACTACTGCTGGTGGTTACACATTTATGATTAACACAAACCTGTAGTCAAATAATAATCCTTTAACAAAAGCAGTTTTCAATGGGGATGCACAATGTGGATTTTTTTTTTCAGCTGATACGTTAACTGATGGTACGTTAACCGAGGAAGATCAGAACCTTTAGTTTTAACACACCCGAGGGTAAGAAAGGCTGAGATGTAGTGAGCAAAGATGGATGATTTAATGTTTCATAGCTCTGTTATAATTAAATCTAACTGACAATTGTCAACAACAACGAAGAACAGTTCTGACTCTTCAAATTTATTTTTTCTAGTTCATTAAAAAACTTAAACATACTTTGGCTTTCATAGAACAAAAAGTACATCAAACTTTTTATAGAGGAATTCCAAATAAATTATTATTTATATCAACCAATAATTTACTGGCAAGAACTTAATTATCCTGATAATTTATAACAACATACATTTCCCCATTATTGACTGAAAATGTATCTGTCCCAATAATTATTGTGCATCTCTAGTTTTCAACAATCAAAGTAAACAGTGTGTCAGTATTTATAAAAAGTAGAATTTTTAGAAGAATTAGTACTAAGAGTTTAGTAGTAACCACTATGTGCCAGTTTTTGTGTTGTTGTTTTTAATAATGTGGTGGCACAACAACTTAGGAAAAACTTCTTACCGAAACATTTTGGAAAATAATTTGTATACATTTCATTTCAATCAAGTATTTATTAAGGATTGAATGCTGTTTTTTTTTGTTTTTTTTTTAAATATAACTCAACAATAATATTTCTTGAAGAATCACATTTTAACTTGAAGAAAACTAATTTTAGAACATAAACAGTTATTGGTAGTGAATTAAATAGTTTTGGACACCACTGTATCATATAATGTAATTTTAGCTGTTTAATTCAGATGAATCTCTGCACCAGGTCTGAGTTATACAGCATACATACAAAAATACAACAGTTTCTCAAACAAGCATTCACAATGCAAATTTATTGATTCTGACATTAATGTAAAAAGTTAATTAGGATTCTAATCAATGTCACTCAAGATATGTTAGAAGATAATTTCTTTGAAGAGCAGAGAACTAGTTAATCAAACAAAAAGACACATGAACTGTGTGATCTACTGACCGTGAATGAGGGAGCCATTGAGCCACTGAATGTAATAGTTTTTGGGGAAGGAGAGGAGGATCTCGTTACTAATGATTGAGAAAGGCAGCAGGAAGACGGCACCACCCGACACTGCCAGGGTGAAGGTGCACAAGTATAATCTGCAAATGGAATCAATCACACACACAGACAAAAACACAGACACACAAGTGTTAGGACAAGTTGAGAAGAGTAATAACACATTTTTTTCTTTTTTTAACTCAGATTATATGTTACAAACAACTGCTTGGTTGCTTGAGGATTCATTTTGGATCCCTTGTTATATTATAAAAGAATCGCTTGTGTCAAGAATGACTAAAAACAGCAAGTGAGGAATTAACTTATTTAGTGAAAGTGACCACTTGACAATCTATTACCCTTCTACTCCTCAGTTTCATTCGATCCATGCCCTAGTCCTAGGACAAAAGACATCAGGACTGGCTATGTTTCTGCAGCCTTTTACATTTTTAGAGGCTGCAGGTCTCAAGATTGGACCCAGGGGAGTGACCATCTGCTCAGTGGTCCTCAGCAGGGAACCACAAAGTCCCCACTTCACCATATCACTAAAGGAGCTCATTACCTGAAATGCTTTCCATTATGTATGCTGGACCCTTAGGTACCATCTTGCTCAGCTGGACCTAAACATGCAGGAGGCATGTGGCCACAACAAGCACCCTTGTGTGTTATGTGTACAGTAATTCTAAACTGAGGGATACGCGACACTCGCCACCTCAGTTCTAGCTAATGACACAATGTGTAATACATACAGCGTAGTGGTAGCAAGTGAATTAGTGCAGTGCTTTTATGTTATTAGTTATTAGTAATCAGGCTTTAAACTAATGATTATTTTCATTATTGATTCACTTAATTATTTTCTAGATTAATCGATTAACTGTTCGGTCTATGGGATGGGAGAAAACTGATGTCTTCTGTTGCCTAACCAACTCTCAAAAACCCAAAGATATTCACCTCACTATGATATAAAACACAGAAAAGCAGAAAAGGCCTCACAATCCAAAAGCTGGCACCAGAGAGCACGACTTAAATAATAATAGATTATAAAAATAGCTACAGATCATTTTTTGATAAGTACTAATTGTTTCAGCTGTATTGTATTTTATCACTTTTCTTTCCTTAAATAGTTGACTTACTTTCTTTTCTTATATTTGCTACACTTTGTCCATTCCAATAACAAAAAGCTTCGATTACTAATTCCTAATAAACAAAATAAATAACTAGTCGCTCTTAGGGGTTACTTCACTAAACGAGGCTTGCCACAATTTCTGAAAGACATTTTTCCTAAAAAATAAAGATGAATTAACTGAATCAGCTTTACTCACGATATTCTATTGACAACAGCATCTTCATCCTCATGGTCATCTATAAAGGAAACCAAACCACTTCAGTCACAAGGTGGTCCGAGTGTGAGCTTCTCAGCTGTATTCCACATTTCATACATCACATCTTACTTCAACCAGTACTTAACACACAGCATTGGCTAACAAACAAACAAATATCTAATATCTTCCCACCCATATCTGCAGATACTGACATGCATCATTGTAAGAGTGTTAGTGCAAATGAAGGAGCAAAACAGCTTTAGTATCTGAGATGTGATACTTTTATTCCACAGTTATATGAGTTGATCTATTCCCTGAAAAAACATTTTATTAAATTTCATAACAGAAATTGTGAAAATGTGAAAAAATAGTATGTAAGAAATTAGAGCAGGACCTAATAATCATCAAACATGTAAGGCAGTGAATAGTATGCTCAATATACTGCACTAAATATAATAATAAATATAATAAATAAATGTAATGGCACTTTATATTTTACTCTTCCTTTGTACTGTAAGTGAGAGGATGAGGCTACCAAACCACAAGTGTAAAGAAAAGAGCAGCCTAGATTTATACTGTACAAAACTCCAGAAGGGATTTCTGGTGCAAAGTGGTCTACTTTTGAAATGAGACAAGGGAAGCCTAGGTGACCTGGACATCCTAAATTTGTCCTGGGAAAATGGGATGCAGTTCATAATGTCTGCCTGGGCCCGTCATCTCTCTTTTCTCCTCTATAACTCGGTCAGATTTTTGTCTTCAGTCATGTCTGCCTGCCGCGGCTCAACTGCTGCGTCAGAGACGTTACAGAAAAACAAAACATATCCGTCCTGTTAAAGAGCCCACTGGAATTCTTCATTGTTTGCATATCATTTGACAGGACAGGATATACTACTAACCTGTCTTTGTTACTGGAAGGTTACTTATGAGCAATTGTACTCCTTTGGCCACAGCCCTAAAAACAATTTGGGGCGGATTCAGTTTACACTGTGCTGACTGAGGCAGATTACTCTACAGGCATGGGTGTGGTCTCTCACGCATACACCTAAAGCCTTCTTGGCCCTGACTTTCTTTCGGTCTAAACACAATGAAGGGCTCTGTCTGTGAGCAAACACAGCATAACCAAGACAGACTGACTAACTTCTACAATGTTTGCTGTGAAAATGGGTCCACCGTGGACACATTTCTGCTGTGTAAGTGTTACAGATCCTTTAAGACCGGTCATGGTTTCACGGAGGTGCGTGCTGATCTCCGTTCCCACGGCGTGCGCATTCACACGGGACAGAAACACTTACCGCTCTTCCTCTTGTATCTGGTTATGATGCAGTAGGACACAATGTAGAGGACTGCAAACAGGAGAAAGCAAATCTGAAACGACAACATAACAATCTTAGTCGAGGATTCACTATTATTGTATATTAATCAACAACAGGCTGATTTGATCAGTAATCCATGGCATTGTTTGTATATATAATGTATTGATGCTACAGTACAGACAGCCTAACAAATTGTAAACGTAATTTTTTTTGTTTTTAGGGTCACAGCTAACAATTATCTTTATTATCAATGAATCTACCCATTATATGTTAAACAGTGAATCATTTGGAACACAATTGAATTGAACACAATGCCAGCGCTCAGCTAAAAATGCCCATCACCAGTTTCCAGAGCCCAAAATATCTTGTTTTGTTAAAACAATGGTCCAAACGCAAAAGAAATTCACATTTGAGAAGGTGAAACAAGCCATTTTTTTCAATTTTTGCACAAAAAATTAACTAAACAATTACCTGAATAGCGAAATAGTTAAAATAGGAAATGACCTAAACAAATAATCAACTAATCTTTTCAGCTCTAACAGTTTTAACTATAATAGTGGATAATCTGAGGGTTTCAGTCAATTTCGTCCCATGCTCTAAAACTGTGGAATATAATACTAGACCACTATAAAAATGTCCACAAATAACTGCACATTTAGGCCTGTTAAAGTGTGCAAAATAAGGAAAATAAAACAACCCTTGCCCCATTATAACACAAACCATTAGCTACCAAGCAGCAGAGTTCAGCACGGCCCCGATATTTGATCACAAAGAACAAAATGAGAAACGCCTCATTGTTTTCCAACATCTGACAATACTAATTAGGCCAGTATGTGTAGAGTGGTCCAGAAATGACCAACGCATGTAATTTATCGGGTAACCACGGCCTTAAAACAAGCTGGATGATCTTACAGAAAGATCACGTTTCACATTCCCCCCGTCTACTATGACAGTGACCAGGGCAACTAATGTTAGAAGCTCCCACTTCAGCACTTTTCACCCTGTCAACATTGCACAACTCATCATGGCCAAGCTGGGATTATGAGATGACTCAGCCAGACAGCGGACGGGCCGTGCATTGCAGACAGTCAAAACTGACATATAAAGAAATGCCACGGTCAATCCGGGAGGTACGCGGTGTTATACGACAGCTGCGGCAAAAACTGTTTCTCTTATCCCCTGCAGTCCCCTTCCTAATGAATGACAGCTGATGTATTTACAAGCTACCAAACTCTCTGTGGTGACAGAAAGTAAAACCGTGTTCACAAAGGGGCAAACCCAGAATAACACAGGATCAGGTGCACGGAGCTGATAAACTGGTTCAAAGATACAACAGTTTGGGACGAGATAACGACAAGTAACACAAGTAGACCAGACAACGCCACTGGCGAAGTTATCGCTCTGTTTTCCCTCGTTTACGCGGAGTAACACTGTACGCGATGGAAAAGGAGCGGGTAATAACAAGTCAGGCTTCTCACAAGCAAGTTGCAAGCATCCCCGACCAACTTGGGAACAGTATTTCACACCTTTATGATATATGAACTCAAGCTGGAGGTGAGGGGGCAGTAATTACATTTTAACTGAGAGACGATCGTGCAATTCCTGCAAGTAGATCAGCATGTTTTCATCCGCTGTAGTAACACCACTTTTAGCTGGTCATGAGTTTATGAGTAACCCGATTAACGGACGTAGATGTCTTCTTAAGCAAGCCAAGTACCTTGTCATGGACGTCGTTAGCTGGGTTTATGAAAGGTTTTTAAGTGTGTGCATTAGCATGGAAGAGACCGTGGATAGGATGTTGGAAAGTACAGATTATATTGGTTTTTTAATGGTAATAATAATAAAATAGTAGTTGTTCAGGTTGCAATCACTTCAACACAGCGCAGCTCTGTTTACAAAAGTCTGTGAAAGCTTGATAATGATTTTAGAGTCTCACTGGAGGTGGTAGTGGAAAATGAAATTACTGACCAAACCTCATGACTGCCCACAGTAACCTGGTTTTCTTCCATAATTCTTTACAGTAGGAGGCTATTTCCCACACTTCACGTCTAACCAGCGCGTGTCATGTTTATGGACCTGAAACAGACACTGGACTAACCTTGGCTGCAGAATAAGCACGCAACGATAAATATAATTTAAGGCACGTAGAAATGAATCCATAAGTTGCCTCACCGTTGACATTAAGGTTAAATGATGATTAGAGCATAATGTAAAGGGATCTTAGGCACAGCATGTTGATATGGGAAACTGAGAAGAGGCTTAGGACGACATGTGCAAGCTAAAGCTGAGATATTAAGCTCGCCTGCTGGTGAGACATTTGATAGTTTTTATATTTAAGAGGCGTCGATCACGAACACTTAAGAACTCAGACAAAGTGTCCCCCTCTTGAACTCGCTCACTTAAGGTTTTTTTTTTTACACCAAAACAACAACTATTTTCATGGCACCAACAGTGGGTAGTTCTGTGATTTATTTCGTCATCACGGTCAGAAGTAAAGCGTGGAAATATCTGTCAGACGAGAACGTTAACTCCTTACAAATATTACTCTGCTGTGTCTTATCTCCTGTCCAACGCTCAAAAAAGAAATAAGGGTGCCTTCTCTCAAGTTTTATAATCATCTAACCAGAAAATCATCAGAAATTAAGGACATTTCTACTAAAAAGCCAACAATAAAACATTCAAGACTTTGTTTGTATTCACTAAATAATGAACAAACCCTTAAACCTTTCTAATTCTAATGAATTATAACCTAGATATACAGATATGTGACTTTTGGTTAAACCCTGCTTCACATAAGATCCACTATTATAGTTGTTTATCATGAGAATATGATATTAAATTAGGTCTGCACCATTAATATATCACATTACAAGCTGTTTTTAAAAAGAAATCAGATAAATAAGACACACAAAATAAAGATTTCATCACGCTGAACAAACAATTAGTGAGACGTCCCAGTCCTCAGTGAAGAGGAGCACTGGATTAGTGAGGACAGGGACACTGTGTCCATGCCCCAGTTAAAGATATCACAGTAACAAACCCGCATATTGATCACAAATCTGTTCCAATATCACCAATAAACACACTTTACACTGCTGCAGTCAACTAGTTAACGCCAGCTAACGCGAGCTCACTTTAAATGAGTGTCTTTAATTCAAACAACACCCGAGCAACAACACCACCAATAAATCCAGGCGACAAATTTAAAAAGGTTGCTCCCACAAAAAACCCAAACTCCTGTTTTGAAGCTGAATTAAAAAAAAAAAAAAGCCAAACTGACAGTTGGAGCTAACGTTAGCAGCCGTTGGCAGCCGTTAGCAGCCGTTGACGCCTCTGTGCGGTAGAGGACGTTGTTAGCCTGCTAGCCTCGTTACTCACGATGTACTCTCGGACTTGGCTGTGGAAGTTCTGCTCTCTGATAGTAACGTCGTCTTCTTCCATTCTTCATATTGCAAATGCGAAAATAAATAAAAGCCACAGACTCACTACATGCTAGTTCGCACAAACTGGCAAACACGACTGGAAACAACTCTTCCCCTTTTTTTTTTTTTTTTTTTTTTTTTTTTTTTTTTTTTGTTGCGTCTTCCTCTGTCTGGCAAAAAGAAAAAAAAACTGCCAGTCTGGTTAAAAGACAGTTTACAATGGAGGATACCTACAAAAAATAAAAAATAAAAAAAAATAATAACGCCCCAAATAAAGTGTGTCATCAGCGTGCGTCAGCTACACGCCGTGCCCCGGAAGCAGAGCGCGTGCACGTGGTCGTTGCGGTCGCATCAACAATCCTCATGGAGAATTACATGTTTTAAGTATTTATGTGTTCAATCCTCTACTTGTTTTAAAGCATCTGTAGTGCAATCATCAGCTCCGTGAGCCCGCTGAGTGGGTTGGACGGTGATCAAGGCTCAGAGTTGTTATTGTGGGTCTGTGTGTAGAGATGGAAGGCGAAATGCGAAAGCAGAACAGGCAAAAAGAAGAAGGGGAATGTTGGGTGTTACCAGAATACATCGTGGGCGATGGATGAGGGGGTTATTAAAAGCGAAGGGGCTCTGGAGAAGGGGAGCAGGACCATGGGCTGAAATGGTGAAAAAGAAAAGTTAGAAAGAGCTGCCGCAGGAAAAAGCGAAAAATGAAAAAGCCAAAATGAAAGTCATTATGAGGGTAAAAAAGAACCTCGTCTTCCCTCGATTAAGGTGAGAACCTCGGGATGCCAGCTGATGAAGAGCAGAAGAAGAGAAGAAGAAGAAGAAGAAGGACGGAGAAAGAAAAGAAAGAAGGTCAAAAGCACATCAAATAAGTCCAGTGTGCCTCCCACAGACAAATCCAACAACTCTAAACACCCTCATCTCCAAAGAAAGGCAAGAAAATCAACAAGCTTCAAGAATCAAAGAGCTTCTGGAGGCAAATGAAGACGAGGATCGAGAAATAAAGAAACTAGAGCGGCAGCTGGGATTAAACAAGAGGAAGAACAAGAAAAGTCTCCCCCAGTCCTTCGTGGCTGATGGACTTGATTACATCCTTGGCGTGCTCGACTCTGGCTCGTCGGCTGTGGGGATGTATGACGATGATGATGATAACGTGGACGTCGCCAAGGAGAACTTTGAAAAGCTCGATGAGAAAGACTCTCAGCTGTCGGACGAGGAACCTGGAGATGAGATGGCGAGTGAAGGCAGTGATGAAGATATGGGTTCGTTCGATGATGAAAATGAGGTGGTGGACGATGAGGAGGATGATGAGGAGGATGAAATGGTAGATGAGGAGGAAGCAGAGGAGGAGGAAATGGAGGATGAGCTGAATGAGAATAACGCAGCCGACTCGGATGATGAAACTGAAGGGGAAGCAGAGGAAGAAGCAGAGGAAGAAGCAGACACTCCTGACACAAACCCATCAGACTCAAAGTCAGAAACAGTGAGTTCATAAATATTTGTTTATTATTGTCGTACCATTGAGGTCGTACATGCTGTGTAACGGATCTAAATGCGATCTTCCAACGTCCAGGTCAACTCCACAGCAGGGAAGTACGTGCCGCCTCACTTGCGAAACACTGGGGACGACGAACGCAAAGCGGAGCTCGAGAAACTGAAGAGGAATGTGAAAGGTCTGGTGAACAGGTAACAAAAAAAAACCACATTCTCCCTCTTACAAATCAAAAGTTGTATTCATAAGCAATAAAACACACCGTTGCTATAATTCACTCAGGAGTACGCCAAAGAAAAGGCATAGTCCTTATCAGTCGAGTTAATATCGAAAATTCGACCCCATTTTTTCTATAAAGTGTAAAGAAGTTTTCTGCCGATGCATCGTGCACTTTGGTATGAAAGTGCTCAGAAGTTATTTCTATATTTTAGGTTTTCTGATCATATAAAACCTACTTCTATCCTCTAATAACCAGCACTAGAAAGAAATGGGGCATGTTTGTAGATTTCTAATCACGACCCGCATAGACAGACATCAAGGAGATGTAGACAATTTTCATCATCAAGTTTTGTTTTCAGTTTTATTTTATTAATTGTTTAGTGTGTAAAATGTAAAAAATATAGAGAAATGCCCATCACAATTTCCCAGAAGCCAAGGACGGCATCTTAAATTTACTGGTTTTGTCTGAAACGGTCCAAAGCACAAAGATATACATTTTTCAATGATATCAGACAAATAAAAGAAGCAGGTCCTCCCATTTGAGAAGATGGAACCACTGAATCTTTGGCATTTTTGCTTAATAAATGTTGGCAATTAATGTTGATCGACTGATTGAGTTATTGACTAATCGCTTTGGTGCTATGGAGATGCAACCATTGGCAACCACCAATTGAGGATTTTGAGGAGCATTACTGTTCAAATATGAGATGATTTGTACAAAAGAAGAAGAATCTTTAGAGTTATTGTCACAATAACGCCTGACTTCTGAGCTGGGTCTTGAGTTTGCCCTGTGGAATTCTTTTAAAAGTGATAATATATCTATTTTTCGGCAGGCTGAGTGAGCCCAACATGGCGTCCATCAGTGGTCAGCTGGAGGAGCTGTACATGAGCTGCAGCAGGAAGGACATGAATGACACCCTAACAGAGGTTCTCCTAGCAGCCTGCGTCACCCCGGCCCTGATGCCTGACAGACTACTGATGGAGCACGTTCTGCTCGTCAGCGTCCTCCACCACACCGTCGGGATAGAGGTAAACACACCTCCTTTTAATCCTTTGAATTTGAAAACCTGTGATAGACTTACACAAGTACCAAAGGCAATTTTGTAGGTGATGTAAAATGGATCTTAAATAAACTGGTTTTACTTTCTGGAGTTATTTCCATTCATTAGACCCTCAGTTCATTGTCTCATCCTTTTGATAAGAGTGACAGCAGGAGTCGAGTAGCTTTTGGTTTTCCCAGCCTGTGGGTGAGAAATAGCAACCACTGACATCAGCTCTTGGATTATTCATTGGAGGCTTTTTTTTCAAAGGGATTAGCTTCTTTAACACATCTCCACTGTAAGTTAATGCTCCTTTAATGACGATATCTAACACCTTGGTTTCCTTTGCTTACGCTGTAATAGGATTGTTATCTCTCAATTGTATTTACTCTCCATCCTGTAAATGACGTAAGGCAGGAACATTAGTAGAATTATCTGCCGTCAATGACTGCCTTTCGACGCAGTTCTTTGAGGTTATTTAAGGCAAATTTTGTACCTATTTTAAAAGTAACTTTATTGGTGAAATGTGGGGGTACAGCAACAATCCTTGAACACTCATTAGATTCAACATTGACTATTGTGGTTCTATTTGTTATGGAGTTTTACAATGCAAAAGACAATCATTATTAATATTTTTAAGCGTACTTATGTATTTGACTTAAACTGTGGGCTTTGTCTACAACCTGTGTGATGCTGTTATATTGAACCCTTATTTATCATCCACAGATATTAACATACATAAATCCAACTCTAACATGAATCACGTCTCCGTAATATTCCCTTTTGATAATTTTTCAGGTCGGAGCCCATTTTCTGGAGACGGTCGTGCGCAAGTTCGACGAGGTGTACAAGAACCCAAGTGAAAGCAAGGAGTGCGACAACCTGGTCGCCATTGTCGGCCACCTCTATTACTTCCAGGTGGTGCATTCTGTCCTCATCTTCGACATCCTAAAACTTTTTGTTGGAGCTTTTACAGAGAAGGACGTTGAACTAGTTTTGTTTGTGCTGAGGAATGTCGGCTTCGCCCTGAGGAAGGACGACGCTCTGGCTCTCAAGGAGCTCATCTCTGAAGGCCAGCGCAAGGCCAGCAACGTGGGGTCGAAGTTTCACGATCAGAACAGGGTAGGGCCAACAGAATTACTTTTTATTTGTATTACTTTTCATTTACTTTCTTAACTTGTTTTTGTATCAAATTAGAAGCCTATGTAACATTATTTTATGTGCACACTCATTCTCAGGTGCGTTTCATGCTGGAAACCATGCTGGCTTTAAAGAACAATGATATGCGGAAGATCCCAGGCTACGATCCTGAGCCTGTGGAGAGACTGAGGAAGTTGCAGAGGACTCTGGTGGGTGATTTTTAAATTACGACCATATTGCATTTGATATATGCTTATTTCCCTACAGAAAATAAATTTAGATTTTTAATGTGTAGCTGATAGGCCCTCATTTTATTCATCATACTCAACACAACAGTAGCTCCCAATTGTACCTCCAGGTGGCGCCAGAGTACCACCTTTACACACCTAGATCACTTGTCCAGATCATGACCACTTAACAGTTGTTTACCTCATGATTGCTCATTTGTGTTTACCTCCTACGTAAAGTTCACTTGTGGCTAATTCTGGGTAAATGTGGTACTCAGATCAACCGGAGTGCAGGAGGCAGCGACATGAAACTGAGGGTCTCTCTGGACAACCTCTTGGCAGCAGAGCAGGTGGGCCGCTGGTGGATCGTCGGCTCCTCATGGAGTGGGGCACCCATGATCAGCGAAAAAGGGAACGCAAACTCAAAACAGAGTTCTGCTGAAGGACAGGTAGAGTAACACAGACACAGAAGACAGCAGAGTTGTAGCAGAATACATGCGTATAAGCAGGCATCTGAGTACTGTTGCTAGGCATCCTTTAAAGTGAAAGATTTATGACATGTCATGGTAGGGGAAGCAGATCCTGAACTGATCATGTCCCATTTAATCTGTGTTGCAATATTTATATTATTTGCACTGTTGTATTTAATTTATTCATAATCTGATTAAACTAATTTACAATCTTCAAATAATTTTTTCCCCACATTGATCATTAAAAAGTAAATATTCTGCCATTTAACAGCGTCATTATCTGAATTAAATGTGTCTGTATCAGTAGGCTACATTATATTTTAATGCTTTATAAGAGGGTCAGTATTGCCAATACAAATTAGGTCTCAATACATTATTGGTGCCAACTGAAATGTGTCGCTTGCATCAAGTATCGAAATCGGTCTAGTTTCCATGGTCAGATTCACAATTATACTTTTTTCTTGTTCAGATAGTTCCCCATTTGCATCCAAATCTTTGCCAAATTTAAACTATTTTATTTACATTTTTATTACAACATTTAACATTTGAGAAGTTTGTCCTGTCTTTTGTTAAATGAAGAAAATGTTTCTCAGAGTAAGGTATCGAATAAAGTAATGTTTTATTATTGTTCAGTAATGTCCGCACTTTGAGTGTATTTTGGCTTTAGCAGTATTTTTCACTTAACTGTCTTTGTTTTTTTTTTTTGCTTTTTTTTCAGTTTAGTGGCCAAAGTCTTGGAGCAAATGGCTAAGGAAACAGAGGTATGAACACTGGAGGTTCAGAGAAACATTCTTCTGTTGATCATGGACCAGCGAGATGTACCTTGGATGCTTTTGAGAAAACTCCGCTATCAGTGTGTTATCTCTCCCACCCCTGCAAGTGTTCCTCCTATGATAAGTTGGTTGACCAAAGAGAAAGAGGGAAATGTGACATGCATTATGTTAGCCGTGTTTCATTTCAAAGTAGTCCAGCTGTGAGGTTGATGTTTTAAAGCCTTTTATTTGCTCTGTGTGAAGGATGGGACTGAAGGACAAGCAGGAGAGGGAGATTGTTCATGTTCTGATGGACTGCTGTCTGCAGGAGAAAACCTTCAATGCCTATTACGCCGTACTGGGAGAGAAATTCTGCTCTCAAGATCGGCGCTTTCAGGTACTTGATGACTACAATCAGATTAGTACAAACCATTAACAGTCTTTCTCCTAGCAAACCGTTTTTCTACACATGAAATTGTTATCTTGAGAGCAGTTAATGGTAGGGGGGGAAAGTGTATGCTGAAAAAGTATACTAATACTAATTTGCATGATCAGTACATATATATATATATATATATATATATATATAAATATATATATATTTCTATAAAAAT